AGTCACAGCCGACACTCTCACGACGACAGGTGCGGTGGGTGGACTTCCTGGAAACTCACTTCCACTACGACATCGTCTACAAGCCCGGGCTACACAACAAGGCAGACGCGTGGAGCCGCCCCGGACATGTAGCAGGCATCCAGCTCGACGGGATGAACCCTCTGCTCAAGGGTCTATTCCAACATGGGTACTCCGTGGACGCAGAGATTGCTACAGCACAGACCAAGAAGTTATTACAGTGGGAGAAAGACTTAGCTGTAAGGAAGGGTTCAGGAAAGATTTGGGTACCAAATTACGCCCCGCTACGGCAGATCCTATTGGAGGAGTTTCACGACGTACCTTACGCGGGACATTTTGGGAGCAACAAGACGTTAGCAGGGATAGCGAAGTATTACTACTGGTCCGAGATGGCAGCAGACGTGCAGCAGTTTGTCACCTCTTGCGACACGTGCCAGTGGATGAAGAGCAGCAAGCAGAAAAAAGCAGGGTTACTTCAGCCTCTACCCGTACAGGAGCAACCATGGCAGGTCGTTAGCCTCGACTTCATCACAGGACTTCCTTCGACCTCACGGGGACATGATTCCATCCTCGTGGTGATCGAGAAATTCTCCAAAATGGGCCACTTTATACCGACCAACGCCACAGCTACAGCTGAAGCAACTGCTCGCCTCTTCTTCGACCGCATCATCACCATCCACGGCATCCCCGCTACACTCATCTCAGACAGAGACCCCAAATTCACGAGTAAGTTCTGGAAGGAGCTCATGGGACGGTTGGGGACAAAGCTTGCAATGTCTTCAGCATACCACCCCCAGACTGACGGACGGACAGAGCGACTCAATCAAGTGGTTGAACAGTTACTGCGCACAGCTTGCAAGGACGACGTCAGCCATTGGGACACATAGTTACCGACCCTAGAGTTCGCTTACAACAACGCATCACATGCGGCCACAGGAAAAACTCCTTTCTTCCTGTGTTACGGACGGGAACCACTCACACCACAGCAGCCAATCACACCGGCATACGTCCAAGCCGCACATGACTTCATCACCACCATGCAGCAGCTATGGGAGAAGACTCAGCGACGTCTCACAACGATGCAAAACTCCCAGAAGCAGTATGCCGATCGTCAGCGACGTGATCACTCAGTAGTAGTCGGAGATCAGGTGCTTCTTGACACGCGCAACTTGAACCTGTCTCACCTCCCATCCAAACTCCGGCCTCGCTTCTGTGGTCCTTTTCTCGTTGAGGCACATGTGACACCAGTTACATTCCGCTTGCGCTTACCAGATACATGGAAGCTTCACAACGCTTTCCATTTTCAGCTACTGAAGCCCTACAAGGACCCCAACCAACAGTTCCAGGGACGGCAACTACCGCCACCACCACCTGTTCTCATACAGGATGAACCCGAGTAAGAGATCGAGCGCGTTCTCTCTCATCGGCGCCGCGGCGGCAAGACTCTCGAGTTCCTGATACGCTGGAAGGGATACGATCCCACTGAGGACAGCTGGGTTGCAGAAGCTGATATGGGCAACGCACGCCGTGCTCTCAAGGACTATCTTGTCAAGCAGGGTGTATCTCACGCCACCCAGCTTTGAGGGGGGGACGTGTGAGAGTACGACGGCTTATGCCAGCTATGCTTGCTTGCCTTTACTTTTATCATGCTATTTCTAGCATAGGATAGTCATATGCATGCATGAATTGCTTGATTTCCTAGGCTAGGTGCTTTCCTATATTTTATTATAGTTAGAGCACCGAGCTAGGTTGCGTGCACCGAATTCTGGCTTTTCGGTTGCCACCGAATTGCCTTCTACCGAATTCGGTAAGGATCTGTTCGGGACGCTTCGCGACCCGCGGAACCTTCGCGTAACACCTGGTTACGGGGCCTTGTGTCGAGCCTATATATAGCCTCGTGTTGTACCCAGGTGATCATTCAATTCAATTCAATTTGAATCATCTTTTCTGAGCTCGATCCCAGATCCTCACACCGCCCCTCGACGCAAGGAAGGCACGGCGGCGCAAGTGAGCGCGGGAGGGGGGTCAGGGTCTCAGGGAGGCCAGTGACCAGGAGTCGGGAGTGCATGCGGCGCAGACGCTGCAGGGAGGGGTGACCAAGACGGTGGTGCCAGCGCTGAGTCTCGTGCGTGAGTACTTGGCACGAGCAAGACGCAACTAACTGCCTTGACGCAGACGCTCGACTCGACGTAGCTACCTGACCTGACTCAGCCACCTGTGCAGACGCAGTGGTCAGTGTGTACAGACTGGACCCAGGCTGTCGAGTGAACGTAGCCAGGTGACGGCCAGTCCGCAAGCACGTACAGATCGCCACACGCTGCCCTCCAGGAATAAAGGTATCAGCCCAGACATCCTGAATGGCAGTGTTGCTCACCAAGTTCGTCGAGAACGTGGGGAGGTGGAGACCTGACAAAGTGCCGGAGGGGACTGCTGGACAAGGGAGGACCGTGGAGGCTCTCGCAACCACTAGGCCCCCAGAGGGGTCAGCCTGTGAGACTGGGACAGGTGCTGTGAGTGGTGTGACTGTGGTGCAATCACGGAAGAAGCAACGTGACGCGTCGGAGTCAAGCGTGAAAGTGTGCAAGACCTCAGTTGAGGCAGGACCTGTGGTAGTAGACGCACTAGCAACTAGAGCGTCGGTAGACTCACGGGCACCTAGAGCTGCAGCAGACTCACTAGCACTTGGAGTGGCAGCAGACTCACTAACACTTGGAATGGCAGCAGACTGACTAACACATGGAGTGGCAGCAGACTCACTAACACCAAGAGCAGCGGTCTTAACAGAACGATAACTTCTACCACCAGGACGACCTCGCTGAATAACCCACGCACGAAGCTGCCGAGGGGTGGGGTCGTCCGGGAGAAGCAGTGCCCGCTGCTGTCCACCCCTGGCCGCAGCGACTGCGGCGGAAGTGGCAATGACAGACAGTGACTGTCAGGAGTAGGTCCAGCACCTCCAGCTCCTACAGCGCCAGCAGCACCTCCTACACTCCCAGCAGTACCTCCTCCACTTCCAGTAGCACAAGTAGCAGCAGCAGCAGTAGTAACAGCAGCAGGGCGGTTTGGTGGGGGTGGGAGGCCGCACCTCCACCACTCCCAGCAGTACTCCCTCCAGTAGCAGCACTAGCAGGGCGGCTCGGGCAGCAGCAGCAGTAGACTGAGTAGCACTAGCTGTAGCAGTTGTAGTTGCAGTAGCAGCAGCAGTGACAGCTCAGGCTGGGTGGCACGGCTCGGACACAGTGGCAGAGCAGCAGTAGCACTAGCTGTAGAAAGTGCAGTAGTAGGGGCTGCAGCAGTAGCACTAGCTGTAGCAAGTGAAGTAGTAGGAGCTGCAGCAGTAGTACTAGCTGTAGTAGCAGTAGCTTCAGTCAAGCAACAGTAGTTTCAGTCAGGAGCAGCTGTAGCAAGTGCTGGAGTAGGAGCTGCAGCAGTAGCACTAGCTGAAGCAAGTGAAGTAGTAGGAGCTGCAGCAGTAGTACTAGCTGTAGCAGCAGTAGCTTCAGTCAGGAGCAGCTGCAGTAAGTGCTGGAGTAGGAGCTGCAGCAGTAGCACTAGCTGTAGCTTGAGTAGCTTCAGTCAATAGTAGCTGTAGCAAGTGCTAGAGTAGCAGCTGCAGCAGTAGCACTAGCTGTAGCAAGTGCTGGAGTAGGAGCTGCAGCAGTAGCACTAGCTGTAGCAAGTGCTGGAGTAGGAGCTGCAGCAGTAGCACTAGCTGGAGCAGCCGTAGCTTCAGTCAGTAGCAGCTGTAGCAAGGGCCGTAGTTGCAGCAGCAGCAGTAGCACTAGCTGTAGCAGCACTAGCAGTAGCAGCACTAGCTTTAGTAGCAGCAGCACTGAGTAGCGCTAGCTGTAACAAGAGTAGCGTCAGTAGCATCAGCAGTGAGTAGCGCTAGCTGTAGTAGCAGTAGCAAGGAAGAGCAGCTGCAGCAAGTAGCAGCAGCAGCGAGTGCAGCAGGAACACGGGCCGCGTGCGGGCCAGGCGCGGGCTGTAAGGGCTGCGTGCAGGCCTAGCGCGGGCTTTACGAGCTGGGTGCGGGCCTGACGTGGGCTGTACGGGCTGCGCGACGGCCTGGCGCGGGCTGTACGGGCAGCTAGGGCGCGGTCAGGGGGGGTCGCACGTGACTAGGAAGGAAAATCGCGTCTAGGGCAGAAAAAGGAACCGTCTCGCCTAGAGCACGGTTTCGAATTTTGCGTTTCTCCTAGGGGCGCGACTCGGGCAGTAGATCGAAATAGTAGTGGTGGGCCCTTTTAAAAATTCGGTCCTAAGGAGCATTGTGCTCTTGATACCATGTTAGAATCACTAGCTAGGTGAGGAATCAGTGTCGATTAGGTAAGAGGGAGGGGGTACAAGGATGTCGAGAGAGTTGGGTTGTACCCTCTTAGGTGTGACCCTACACAACCTAGAGTAAGAACATAACAATATGTTTTGACAGCTTGTCTTATGGAGTAGTAATATTAGGGTTAGGCATATGTACCTCAACCCACATCAATGCAACCACAACTCAGTTTCTGACAATCTTTGGAGTTGGTGAGAAGGTATGACAGATGTCAATCCCCTCTTGTTGACTGAAACCTCTAACCACGTAACTCACTCTGAAGACATGCGTCCAGGTGACCGCTTCATCTTGATGATCCACATGCCATCGACTCTGAATTCATACCAAGAGGGAGAATTGCATCAATGTAGGTGCGACTGGACCTCCAAGATGCCATCTGGGTGTCTGTGTTGATAACCCTCAATAGCTAGGAGCAAGGCATTGAAATCCCGCGGAATATGAAATATTGTAACAATGCGTGCATGGTTCTAGACCCGAGGTCTTATATGATCTAGCCGGTGATATAAAACATTAAGAGAAATATTTTTTGGGTGCAGAAAGACACCATGAGGAGGATACGCACGCCCGATCATCTACCCATTCAAAAAAGCCAAGGATCAACAAGAGATGATTAGCATGGCAGATGCAAGAGCCACGCTGCAAGAGGTCAGTTGTCGCACACTCCTTTTTGAAGCTTGACTTTGTCTGGCAGGCACACGCGGGTTGATTTGATGAGCTTGTCGATGCAGTCGTATCCGTTGACTTTCCTGTAGCAGCCCTTGATGCCCCGGAAGTACTTCACCTGAATGGCCGTGCACCTGTCGCCTGTCCCCACCACATACGCATTCGCACGTGGGCACGTGCCCTGCTTGAACGACGTGGAGCTCGCAATGCATGCCTAGGGGGTGGGGGAAGAGGGTGTGGGTGGGGTTGGTGAAATGAAAAGAAAAGAGAAGTGGAGCTCGCAATGGGGGAAGGGGAGGGGAGGGGTGGAGTGAAGAAGAAAATAAGAACAGAGTATAAGAGAGCAGTCACAAGAGAACCAGATAGGCAGTACGCATGAGGGAGGTGACAAGCCATTACACTGAAAGAGGGAAAGGAAGGTTGATTTAGGAGGGAAAGAGGCCCATGAGCAAAGTTGGCGCCACACACGCACCTCAAAGCCAGTGAAGCCGTCAACATTGGTCTTTGGAATGAGGCGGTTGCACTTGATGCCGGGGTTGAGGCGGAAGAAGTCAACGGGGTCTAGAGGGGGGTAGGGCACGTTGCGGATGGACTCGCATGTCTCTGCGCTCTGCACCAGGTAGTACTGCGAGCACACCGGGATGAGCCCCACTTTCTTCTTTATGCGCTCCACACACACCGCCTGCTCCGGCTGCAGCAGCCCGCCGTTGGCGCTGCAGTCCAAGCTGGGGTTGAGCGCCTGGAAGACTGAGTTACACGTAGCGGATGGGCAGGACCAATGCACTTGGAAATATACCGCTAGGTCCGCACAGGTGTCACCCTGAGAATGAGTGGCCAGGGTGGAGGATGTGGGAGGCAGGGGAAGCAGGAATGAGAGAGAGTGAGGTGAAAGCACTGTTCAATCTGAGGTTAGGAAATGGCAGTTGAGGGAAGACGGAGGGAGGAACAGAGAGTAGCACAGAAGGATACGGGTGGAGAGGCAGATATGGGAAGACGAGAAATTGGCGTATTGGCAGGGAGGGTGCGAGGTGGGGACCTGCTGAGTGGTGTAGTAGACGGAGCAGGGGATGAGAGACGCTGGGCTGGCCACTTTGAGCACAGTGGAGGGTGGGATGGGTGTTGCACACGACACCGATGGCTGCACACATCGAGGGAGAGGCATGAGAGACACGGCACGCACCCAGGCAGGCATGAAGAGGCAGGAAATGGCAAGTGATGTACGTTTTGCTTGTATCATTTTTTGAAGAGTTGAGGAGACGCACGTTCTGGGTTTGGAATTCGGCGAGCGTGAGGCCGTAGACCGGGAAGACATCGGAGCAGAGGACGTTGGGAGAGAGCATGGTGTAGGTGGTGTTGGTGTCACCTGCATGCAGCCCAGCACGCAGCACAGCACGCAACATAGAATAACAGAAGTTTCGGCAGAATGGAGCGAGCGGTAGGCACACAGCGCACAGCATGCTCGCATACAACGATGGACCAAGCTGTGTCCTTATGCCTACGAATAAGCCGTTTTCCACACATCCAGGAAACAACACATAGTTTAGAGTTACGTATTCGTCGTTCTGCGATGTATCTGCAGGAAGGTACCTGGAGCACAGGAGTAAGTGCCCTCGACGTTGGTGCCCTGCCTAAGGCCTGGTGGACACACACACGAGTACGACCCCACCCCGTCATTCACACACTGCCCCACCGCACACGGATTGCGCTGGGCTGCCTTGCATGCATCCTCTGGTGAGGGGCGGGGAGGAGAGAGGGGAGTGGAAAGGAGGGAGGTGAGGGGAGGGAGGAGATTGGTAGGGAAGGGGGGAGAGAAGGGTTGAGGAGGGGAGGGAGGGGATGGGAGGGATGATTAAGGTGGCATGGGAGGGTAGGGGAGGAGAAAGGGAGCAAAGGGGAGGGATGAGATAACACTGCGGTTTTGAGAACATTGAGAGGAGGCAAGCAAATATGCTGCTGATGACGTCACCAAACAGTCTCAAGCAGCGGCGGCGACGGCGGTGGCAGTGACAGCGGCTGTTAGAAGACCTGCATTGGGGATGCTCGATTGATCCTAGGAAAGGGTTACAAGCGCGCTAGCCAAGAGGATTATGCGCGTACCGACCGGCTACAAGTATTTTTATCCCAGTGGTCTAGTGGCTGTGATTCTCGCGTGGTATCAGAGAGAAAGCCTCAAATTTGAATCTCTATGTGCGCACATGCTGAGGCTGCCGCTGTGTCGTGTCTTAGGGCATCCTTGTGAGTGAGGGAGTCAGAAGACCTGCACGGTCCGATCGATCCTAAGAAAGGGTTACAGACTCGCTTGCCTGGGAGGTTATGGGTGCACTGACTTGCTACTTAACAAACCCTTTTATCCCATTAATCTAGTGACTGGATTCTGACAGCGGCGGCGGCGGCAGCGGTGACAACGCAGCGCGGCGGCAGCAGCAGCAGCAGCAGCAGAGGCTTACTGTAGGCACATGTGCGAGAGCCATCGGCGTTGCTTGCTTGGATGAAGCGCGGGTCATTGCAGTTACACTCGTTTGTCTTGCCCTTCACAGTGCGGTTGAACTTCCCGCAGGGATTGAAGAACGAACCAAAGCTATCATTACGAGCAGCCTTGTTGCAGGGGTCACTAGGAGCTGCACGGAGAGAGAGGACAAGACGGGAGAGGAGAAGCAATGAGGTAGATTCTGAAAAATGAAATGGCGGGATGGGTTGAAGCGGTGTATGAAAGGATATCATTGATGCGGGGATGGATTCAAGCACTCCTGACCATGCACTCTCTCACCTCTGACAACGCACTCACCATCGGTCGATACAGCACTCACCACCGGTTGATACAGCACTCATCATCCGTTGATACAGCACTCATCATCGGTTGATACAGCACTCATCATCCGTTGATACAGCACTCACCATCGGTTGATACAGCACTCACCATCGGTTGATACAGCATTCACCATCGGTTGATACAGCATTCACCATCGGTTGATACAGCACTCACCATCGGTTGATACAGCACTCATCATCGGTTGATACAGCACTCACCATCGGTTAATACAGCACTCATCATCCGTTGATACAGCACTCACCATTGGTTGATACAGCACTCATCATCCGTTGATACAGCACTCACCATCAGCTGATACAGCATTCACCATCGGTTGATACAGCACTCACCATCGGTTGATACAGCACTCACCATCGGTTGATACAACACTCACCATCGGTTGATCCAGCACTCACCATCGGTTGATACAGCACTCACCATCGGTTGATACAGCACTCATCATCCGTTGATACAGCACTCACCATCGGTTGATACAGCACTCATCATCCGTTGATACAGCACTCACCATCGGTTGATACAGCACTCATCATCCGTTGATACAGCACTCACCATCGGTTGATACAGCACTCACCATCGGTTGATACAGCACTCACCATCGGTTGATACAGCACTCACCATCGGTTGATTCAGCACTCATCATCGGTTGATACAGCACTCACCATCGGTTGATACAGCACTCATCATCCGTTGATACAGCACTCACCATTGGTTGATACAGCACTCATCATCCGTTGATACAGTACTCACCATCGGTTGATACAGCATTCACCATCGGTTGAGACAGCACTCACCATCGGTTGATACAGCATTCACCATCGGTTGATACAGCACTCACCATCGGTTGATACAGCACTCACCATCCGTTCATACAGCACTCACCATCGGTCGATACAGCACTCACCATCGGTTGATACAGCACTCACCATCGGTTGATACAGCATTCCCCATCGGTTGATACAGCATTCACCATCGGTTGATACAGCATTCACCATCGGTTGATACAGCACTCACCATCGGTTGATACAGCACTCATCATCGGTTGATGCAGCACTCACCATCGGTTGATACAGCACTCATCATCGGTTGAGACAGCACTCACCATCGGTTGATACAGCATTCACCATCGGTTGATACAGCACTCACCATCGGTTGATACAGCACTCACCATCCGTTCATACAGCACTCACCATCGGTCGATACAGCACTCACCATCGGTTGATACAGCACTCACCATCGGTTGATACAGCATTCCCCATCGGTTGATACAGCATTCACCATCGGTTGATACAGCATTCACCATCGGTTGATACAGCACTCACCATCGGTTGATACAGCACTCATCATCGGTTGATACAGCACTCACCATCGGTTAATACAGCACTCATCATCCGTTGATACAGCACTCACCATTGGTTGATACAGCACTCATCATCCATTGATACAGCACTCACCATCAGTTGATACAGCATTCACCATCGGTTGATACAGCACTCACCATCGGTTGATACAGTACTCACCATCGGTTGATACAGCACTCACCATCGGTTGATACAGTACTCACCATCGGTTGATACAGCACTCACCATCAGTTGATACAGCACTCACCATCGGTTGATACAGCACTCACCATCGGTTGATACAGCACTCATCATCCGTTGATACAGCACTCACCATCGGTTGATACAGCACTCATCATCCGTTGATACAGCACTCACCATCGGTTGATACAGCACTCACCATCGGTTGATACAGCACTCACCATCGGTTGATACAGTACTCACCATCGGTTGATACAGCACTCACCATCGGTTGATACAGCACTCACCATCGGTTGATACAGCATTCACCATCGGTTGATACAGCATTCACCATCGGTTGATACAGCACTCACCATCGGTTGATACAGCACTCATCATCCGTTGATACAGCACTCACCATCGGTTGATACAGCACTCATCATCCGTTGATACAGCACTCACCATCGGTTGATACAGCACTCATCATCCGTTGATACAGCACTCACCATCGGTTGATACAGCACTCACCATCGGTTGATACAGCACTCACCATCGGTTGATACAGCACTCACCATCGGTTGATACAGCACTCACCATCGGTTGATACAGCACTCACCATTGGCTGATACAGCACTCACCATCGGTTGATACAGCGCTCACCATCGATAGACACATGAATCCACTCACCTCTGACCACGGGGTAGAGGCCTGGCAGCGAGTTGATGCCGCACACGCCATCCCCTCCCTGGATGTCCATGCGCATGTGGTCCCCATTGCCCCACTCAGGCCCCCATGAGTTGCGAATAATCCAAAAAGGCGGAGGGGGAAGCGCGAGTCCTTGCCCACCAGGCGGTAACCCACCAGCAGCACCACGTGGTTCAGGTTGTACGTGAAGCAATCGGGATCCTGGTACTTGTACAGCTGAGGGGAGGGACACATTGGCAAGGCAAGAAGTGATTAGCCGCCACCTGCTTCTGTTAGGGAGTCAGGTGTATGGAAAGGGAGGGTTGGGAACGAAATTACCAGGCAATGATCGCAAACGCACCCGCACTCCCCGTCTCACCCCATCGTAGTTCTTGAACGTGTCGGCGGAAGCCTCAATGTGCACCACCACTGGCTGCCGCTGCACGGCCAGAAGCAGCCCAAACCAGCCATAGAAGGACGTCGACTCAAAGCCCTTGATGGGGAAGCCACCTGGGAGCTGCTGGGGGATGGGAAGGACAGGTGTAAACGATGATTGACGCATGGGGTATGGACACTGAGTGATGCATGGGGTATGGACACTGAGTGATGCATGGGGTATGGACAGTGAGTGATGCATGGGGTATGGACACTGAGTGATGCATGGGGTATGGACACTGAGTGATGCATGGGGTATTGACACTGAGTGATGCATGGGGTATGGACACTGAGTGATGCATGGGGTATGGACACTGAGTGATGCATGGGGTATGGACCCTGAGTGATGCATGGGGTATGGACATTGAGTGATGCATGGGGTATGGACACTGAGTGATGCATGGGGTATGGACACTGAGTGATGCATGGGGTAAGGACACTGAGTGATGCATGGGGTATGGACACTGAGTGATGCATGGGGTATGGACATTGAGTGATGCATGGGGTATGGACACTGAGTGATGCATGGGGTATGGAGGCAGACCAGATCACACAGAGCTCTAGCATGTGAGCACTGAGTGAGAAACAAACTAGAGCAGCACAGAGATCGACTGCTTGAATTGCAAGCAGGGTTCTTTGAGTGACCCAGATTGAGGTTATCTGATCACGATGTACCAAGATATCACAAGTCCCACCACCCCACTCACATGTGGATTAGCAGAACCATTCCCGCACGACACACCGAGCAGCTTTGCCAGTGGCTTCAGCAACGGAGAGCAAAGTGGACCGCTGCTGCTTGCCTTCACGGCCTTCTTGCCTTTCTCGGCCGGCCCCTGGCTCTCCAACACGAGCCCTCCTCCTTTTCGAGCCAGCTTGAGCAGCAGTTGGAAGGCCTGAGAGGGCGTGCTGCCAGAGCAGCCGACCTTCATGGCGGCCTTCAGCTGCTCCACTGACAGCACCGGCGCGGAAGAGGCGTTGGAGAGAATGTTGTATGCTGCCTCGACGCTGCCGACCACTGCATATGCCCAGCAGTCGCCTGCCAAGCAATGCATTGTGAAGAGGGAAAACACATGGATGGCGTACACTTTTATCACAATGTAGCATGGTACCTCTCACTCGCTCCATGCTCCCGCTGCTCTGATTTTGCCTGTGCTCAGGCTCGCACCCACACTCTGCTCCTGGGTAATTGACAGCATGTGGATCTTCAAGGTGAAGCGGCTTCCTGAATTGCCTGCCTATCTTCAACGCATGCTATGTGACGAGGAATTTTAGTCAGCAAGAGGGCTTAGACTTCTTTCAGACATTTTCTTTCACCCTGAAGATGACCACTCTTCGCGTGACAACGAGCTCTACTCACTGGACTCGCACTGTTTCCTGTATCATTCTTGAGACACGCCCGACCAGTTGTTCTACCACCCTTCCTCCCGCAGCTTCTTCAGCTCGCCTCTCGTGACGTCACCTTCGACGAGTCTTCTATGCTCGCTGTCTCCATAATGGTACCTCGGTTCCCCCCCTTGCCTTGTTCCTCATTGCATCTCCCCCACCTGGCCCACCCTTCCAGTAGCTCCCCTCCGTTCCACGTCCTGCCCCGTCCGGTCGGTCGCACGTCAACCCGCAATCCTCCTCGGAATTCCGGCAACGATCGCAGCGGCCGCTCACTGTGGACACTGGAGGTGCTGGTTCGGTGGGCCACTATACCCCCCAGAGTTCGAGTCTCCTCCAACAGAACCCCCAAAGCTTATGCCTCCAACGTCAGCATCCGGCTCCTCCATTGTCTGTCTCGGCTCCTGTCGTTGCTCTCACTGACTTTGCCTCCGTCCGGCCACCGCTTCGACTACGCTGCTCAGTAAGACTCTGACACAACCCGTCCTCCGTAAGCTGGTGTTAAGTTTGGCCTTGACTATGACGTCCTAGAGGATAGACAGTTTGAGCCAGCTTTCAGCCAAGATCGAACCAGCCGTTTTGGGCCGCCTAAAGTTTTAGTTGATTGAGACTCTGAAATGGCCCAGATGGGATGTGGCGACATTGGGGCTGTGACCTTGACCAGCCCGACACGAGACGAACCAGTTCGGTTCGAGGCAGACAGGCCCGGTTTCGATGCGTTCTCGTGCTTGCCTAGTGTGGCACAATACTGGGGTTCCAGGAGTACTCACCGCAAGTGGTTTGAGTCCTGACAGGCCACGTGAAGTTTGGACGGAACCATGAAGCTGCAGGGTGCACTCCATACACGTCATTGCCAGTCTGAGTAGCAACACTGCCCGAGCTGGCATAGCGGAAGAAGAGATTCATCCCTGATAGAGAGAGCGCCGCCTCACTGAAGGTAAAACCCAGCGATGCATCTGCGATCGAGGAGAGGGTACAGAGTGGGCATTAGGAGGATTGTGGAAGGAACAACTAATGCTGAGCGCCCAGAGCTGGTTTACAATAAAAATCTAATGCTTGCTGCAAAATGGAAAAAACTGCAACCCTGTTATGTCGTACCTGGAATTGGCTGGACAGGAAAATCTGCAGGTAGCGATACAAAAAAGGACCACACAAAGAGCTGAATTAGGGCTGTAGTCATTGCTCATCGCCTTCCATTCTCAACCCAAGGGAGAATTGAACGACAAAACAGCGACAACAGGTGACCGGATGGACACAGAGGTGCACTCCCAGGTGGAGAGGTGCACTCACAGGTGGAGAGGTGCACTCACAGGTGGAGAGGGTCCAGAAACAAAGGACATGAAAGAAGGGAGCAACAATTTACACGAAGGACGCAGGGGTGCACTCACGCGTTGAGAGGGTCCAGGCGGAGACGACATGGCTTTGAGCCTGTGTGCCTGAGGCAGCAGTGAAGCCGATGGCAAAGGTGTACTCCGATGGGGAGGGGGCGAGCTCCTCACACAGGGAGATGCGTGCCGACAGGAGGGGGGTGGTGGGGCGTGGGGACGCCTGGGAGGAGAGGAAGACGCGCAGGGAGCCAGTGGAGGAAGGGTCGTAGTCGATCCACACGTGCTTGGGCGTGCCGTCATTGAGAGGGGTGCTAGGCTTGGCTGTGACTACGGACGTGGCATTGCCGCCGGTGTTGATGCCCACGTGGTTGCTGTCAGGGTCGCTGTTGCCCACATCCATCGACGTGTCAAGCTCCACTGCCACGCTGCGCGCTCCCATCCCCGCATACCCCATGCCGCCCGCCACCGGTGTTGTGAGCGGGGTGGCATCAAAGGCCACCACAAAGGCAAAGCCTTCGGAGCCGGAGGCAGCAGGGCGGGTGAGAGTGAAGGAGAAGGAGGAGGAGAAGGCGAGCTGGCGGCCGCAGGTGTCCCCGATGAGCTGGTAGGAGAAGAGCGGCACGCGCGCTGCCAGGAACACACCTCCTTGTTTGGACGGCTTGGAAGGCGTGAGAGTGAGCGTGGCTGCACTCACTGAGGCGTCGCCAGTGGCTGTAAGCATGGCTCCTGTGGGCGTCAAATCCTGCTCTGTCTTACCACCTGGAGTGGGGCACACAGAGATGGAGCCACCAGGAGGTATCAGCTCCGTCAAGATAAAAGCAATACAGGTAGAGTGAAATCAAGATATAAACAGTCACGGGAAACTCTAGTATTTAAAAGCAATATAGGTAGAGTGAAATCGAGACAGGGCATGGCATGGGAGGCTAAACAGACGCACGATTCTCAATATGTGAGCGGCTCACATGCCACAGGCACGTAGCTGCCGGTATATTCCCCAACCACGAAGTTATCGTCACAGAGGCATGTGGGCGTGTTGCTGGGGCCATCCAAGAAGCACACGCCATGGCCGTTGCAGGCGGGAACAGGAGGGGAGGCAGTGCTGTTGACGCCACAGAAGGCAGTGCAGACGGGGTCGGTCTTCTGTGCAGCCTCGTCCGCACCACACGCAAGGCCCTGTGGTGGTGTGGCCGCACAGTTGCTGCGGTGACAGCTGTCGGAGAATCATCCTCTGTTGCATCCCGTGGCTTGCCTTCTCCTTCCTGGACTCACCCTCGCTCCCTTCTTCTGAGCTCTGTTCCTGTGATACCTTACCTGCTCTGCCTCAGCCACTACCTGCCCCCTCCAGAGCTCGTGCTCGGGTCTCCCGTGCACGTGTCACTGGACACTCTTGCTGAGGCCGGTTGCCTTTCACCACAACAGCATTCGTCTGGTGGTGCCCTGTCTACTCTCTTCTCTGATTCCTCAGCACCAGCACTCTTAGACCCCTCAGGTCCTGTCTAAGGCACTCTTAGACCCCTTAGGTCCTGTCTAAGGCACTCTTAGACCCCTCAGGTCCTGTCTAAGGCACTCTTAGACCCCTCAGGTCCTTCGTCTCCCTGTGCTGTGTGTCCGGTGCTACTTTCCGAGTTTCCCCCTCTGCAGGTAGGCTTCCTGTCCCCCTGCCACTGATGTCTCTGTCGGTTTTTCCGCCCTGCTGCAGTCATTGCTTGTGCCTGTGCGTGTGCATTTCTCAACTCTACTGCACGCATGACCTCCGCCGCTGCTGTGTTCTCCTCCTCCAGGTATTCTGCTGCCTTGTCTCCCTCCCATGCCACCCTGTTCTCAGCCCCTTTCATTCCCGCTGGTCCTGGCAGCACCTGTGTTGCTGGCTGCATCAGCTCATCTGCCCATATTCCTCGCGTACTCCACCTTACTGTCTTCACGGCCTCTTTTCCTTCCTGACTCATCGCAACTCCCATTGTATGCCCTACCTCTTCCCCCGCAGGCCGGCACTCCCATGTCCCCACTTCCTTGCTCCCACTATCTGCTTCCTCCTGCTCCTGCGCTTTGTCCCACATTGGACCTTCCCATCCTCCTACCCGTAGGTCTCCTTGCCCCCAGTCGCACGTCATCTCTACTTTCATGCTCCTCACACCCGTCTCAGCTCTTCTCACGGCTTCTTTCACCATTTCCTCCCCCGGCAGCTGTGGATGTTCTTCCCTCAGCTTTCTCACATGCTGCTTCGCCATCCTACTTCTCTGCACTTGCTTCTCTGCCTTTACTACACACGACCATGCCCCCACCTTCTCATCCCTCTCTTCCTCTTCTGCTGCTGCCCATGCCCCCACCTTCTCGTCCTTCCCTTCCGTGCCTGCCGCTTCTGGTTCATCCGCCCATGCCCCCACATTCTCGTTCTTCCCTTCTGTCCCTGCCACTTATGGTTCATCCGCCCATGCCCCCACATTCTCGTTCTTCCCTTTCGTGCCTACCGCTTCCGGCTCATCCGCCCATGCCCCCACATTCTCGTTCTTCCCTTCCGTGCCTGCCGCTTCCGGTTCATCCGCCCATGCCCCCACCTTCTCGTTCTTCCCTTCCATGCCTGCCGCCTCTGGTTCATCCGTCCATGCCCCCACCTTCCCGTTCTTCCCTTCCGCTTCCGCCGTTGCTACTACACACGCTTTTGCCCCCGCCGGCTCGTCCCGCTCCTCTGCTCCTGCTGCTGCTGACGTTACTAACATACACGCCCATGCCCCCACCTTACTCACTTGCTTCCTTCGTCCGTCCCTGCCCCCACTGCGTAGCCGCATTTCTGCATGGCTACGCAGCACCGCACAGGAGTGTTCTGGCTCCTGCTCCTCTTCCTCCTCCGCGTACAACCTCGCTTGCCCCTGAGTTCTTTCTCCCAGCGCCTGCAGTTGGGCTCGCAATTGTTCGATTTGTCCCTCAATCTCCTCGGGTGATCTCCTTGCCTCCATTATTTTATCATGGCAGTCCCTGGTCTTATGCCCCTTTTTTCTACACATCGCACAGATCGATGCATCTGGGCAGTCCCTTCGGCGGTGCCCCGATCTTCCGCACACATCACAGTTCCTGCACTCCCTCCTGATATGCCCCTGCTGCCCGCACCTGTGGCACGTGCGTGTATCTGCTCGCCTCTCCTGCCACTGCTCCTCCTTATCCTCGTCCTCGGTTATCATTGCTGCAGCCCAGCGGGGCCGCCCTTTATCTGACGCCCTTGGCAGGTATGCCTCGTACCGCCTCTGCGCAAGCTCCACTTTCTCCGCCAGTTCAAACACCTCCTCCAATGTTGCTTCAGCTCCCAACTCATACACTCTCATTCTCAGCCCTCCACTCAGTCCTACATCTAACCCCCCCAAGAACTTGCTAATCAACATGCTGCTGTCCGTGCAGGCCACATCCTCTGCTAGGTTAGTGAGCCTCCCAAAGTATGTGGGTAGTGACTCTGCCTTACCCCGCTTAAACTCCTGAAACTCTCGGATACGGTCGGCCGTGTGCCCTGGAAACTGCTTTCTCAGCCGCTCTAGGAACAGCGTCGTGGGATCATCTCCATCCTCCTCTGCCCGCCTCAGCCACTCCGGCATCTTCATTCGGTACAGCGTTTCAGCTTCGCCCCCCAACGTACTCGGTAGGCTTAAGAAAAACTCTATCGGGTCCATCCCGCTTCTATCGCAGCGGTACTTCACATTAGCGATCTGCATCAGGTAATTCTTCAGGTTGCTTCCAGATCCTGCCCCCCCCGTAAAGCGCACCGGCACCTCCACCTGAGGTGGGGCCTGCACACTCCACCTTCCCGTCTCCCAAGTCCCTGAGATCTCATTCCTCCTGCTACTCTCTCCTCTCCTTTCCCTCGACTCCCTGCTCCTTGACTCTGTCCCATACAACACTCGATAGATTCCTTCCCTGGCTGCCCTGGCTCCTCCCGAGCCCAACCATGACTGCTGCGGCCTTCCCTGCCAGCTCCGACTTGGGCTCTTTCCCCGCTCTCTCTCACGAGTCTCCCTACATCCCTCTGATTCCTGCCCCGGACTCTCTCTCTTTTCAGGGGAATATTCTTCCCATGGCTTCTCCCTTCGGCCAAATCCGTAGCGTGCAGGTTTGCCACATTCTCCTTCCTCGTTTTCCTTGTCATGCTCAGGCGTCAACTCTCGCCGTCTACGCTGCTCCTTTCTTCTCCCCGAGCTCGTCCCGTACAACACTCTCTCTAGCCCCTCCCGGGCTGCTCTAGCTTCCTTTGATTGCCATGGCCTCCTCGGCCCCAGTGGACTCCTTCCTCGCTCACCCTCATAAGCCTCCCTCCGCTTTTCTGATTCCTCCCATCGCCCTTCTTTCTTCTCAGGCAAGTTCTCCTGATATAGCCTCTCTCGCTCCCATGCATCAGGTCCCTTTCGACCCGCTGGTTTCCCTCGCTCATACTCCTCTTTCTCACTTCTTGTCTTCCCTTCAGGCGACCTCTCCCTCCTTCTGTATTGCTCGTCATTTCTCCTTCTTAGCTCCTCTTTTTCCGCCTTCCCCCTGATTTCCTCCTCAGGTACCTCCCATGGTAGTGCATTCCGCCTTCGCAGCTCCCGTCTATCCTCTTCCTCGTCCCACAGCTCTGGCGATCGTCGAGCTCCCATCTCCATACGCCTCCTCCTCTCAGTTTCCGACTGTGGCTCCGGCGGTCCGTCTTCCCCACGCATGCGCCCTGTCGCGCAGTCATTCTCCTTGCTCTTGCGGCGCCTCGCGCCACTCCCGAGCACCTCCCCTGGCGCGCGATCTGCCTCCGCGCTGCTCTCACGTAATTCGTCCGCCGAGAGACCTGTATCCGCGCTCCCGCGCTGTTTCGCGCAGCCTCCGCGCATCCCTACCAGCGAGCCATCTTTGCCTGCGTCTTTGCTCCATTCGCCGCGCTCTTGTTCCGCAACGTCGTCCTTCTTACCATCCCGCGCCATCAGGATCTCGTCTGCTTCCTCCTTGCCGTCCGCCTTGCTTGCCAAATCCGACGAGTCCACCACATCTGCATCGTCGCGGAGCCTGCCACCCTCTCCTTGCTGGCCGTGCGCCAGATTCCAAGGGCCGCTGCTGGACGGGTGAGGCCTGGGCTCCGATCCCGCGTGCAGATCGTCCTCGCCTCCTTCTCGACGTCCGTCAGACACCAGATCCATGCGGTACGCCGCCCTCCGTGGCGAACGCGTCCGCGATCTCCCGTGCTCCAGTGAGCGCAACCTCCGTGACGGCGAAAATTCCCGACGCGAGTTTATCTGCTGCCAGCGCAGCTCGTGGCAGTCCATTCTGCCCGATCTTCGTTCTCTTGTTTGTGAGAGATACTGGCTCCCACACAATGGCTGCCCTCAGTGGCCTAGTCACCTAGCTGCTGTAGCGTTAGAACGGCAACGTAAATCCACAATTTTAGGCAAACAAACAAGAGAACGAACTAAACAGTGAGTTCCTAGCCTATTTGAGCAGCTACCTAGTGCCGTGCAGTTTCCCGTAAGGCACATTGGGCTCCGCCCGCCAGGCTTCAAGATTGGCCCTTCGGATTGCCCAGGGCTCGCCCTTGAATCTGTCCCACCCTGCGCCTCGCAAGTCTCTGGGTCACTACTTCCCGTCACTACCCACGCACCAAACTCACCTTCTACAGTGCTTAGAATAATCCTACTACACCTATAATAGCGAGAAACTGAATATATTGATAACAACAATCTATTCGGTGACATATGTTTTTGAGTCGACTCAAAAGCAGTCCGCACCACATTCAAGGCCCTGTGGTGGTGGTGTGGCCGCACAGTTGCTGCGGTATGTGATGTAGCCTTGCCCACACGGCGGGGGGGAGGAGAACCCCTCACTCAAGTAGTTGTTGTCCAGCTTGTACGTCGTAATTGATGCTGGCACGGGCTCAAGGACCTTCCCTGTGAGGAGATTGTTTCTCAGGTTGCTGTGGGTAGAGGTGGAATGACAGGGCATGGAAGGATGGGGATCGAAGGATGGGGAATGGAGGGATGGGGAATGGAAGGATGGGGAATGGAGGGATGGGGAATGGAAGGATAGGGAATTGAGGGATGGGGATATGGACGGATGGGGAATGGAAGGATGGGGAATGGAGGGATGGGGAATGGAAGGATGGGGAATGGAGGGATGGGAATATGGACGGATGGAGAATGGAAGGATGGGGAATGGAAGGATGGGGAATGGAAGGATGGGGAATGGAAGGATGGGGAATGGAAGGATGGGGAATGGAAGATGGGGAATGGAAGGATGGGGAATGGAAGGATGGGGAATGGAAGGATGGGCAATGGAAGGATGGGGAATGGAAGGATGGGGAATGGAGGGATGGGGAATGGAGGGATGGGGAATGGAGGGATGGGGAATGGAGGGATGGGGAATGGAAGGATGGGGAATGGAAAGATGGGGAATGGAGGGATGGGGAATGGAAGGATAGAGAATTGAGGGATGGGGATATGGACGGATGGGGAATGGAAGGATAGGGAATGGAAGGATGGGGAATGGAAGGATGGGAATATGGACGGATGGAGAATGGAAGGATGGGGAATGGAAGGATGGGGAATGGAAGGATGGGGAATGGAAGGATGGGGAATGGAAAGATGGGGAATGGAGGGATGGGGAATGGAAGGATGCGGAATTGAGGGATGGGGATATGGACGGATGGGGAATGGAAGGATGGGGAATGGAAGGATGGGGAATGGAGGGATGGGAATATGGACGGATGGAGAATGGAAGGATGGGGAATGGAAGGATGGGGAATGGAAGGATGGGGAATGGAAGGATGGGGAATGGAAGGATGGGGAATGGAAGGATGGGGACTGGAAGGATGGGGAATGGAAGATGGGGAATGGAAGGATGGGGAATGGAAGGATGGGGAATGGAAGGATGGGGAATGGAAGGATGGCGAATGGAGGGATGGGGAATGGAAGGATGGGGAATGGAAGGATGGGGAATGGAAGGATGGGGAATGGAAGAATGGGGAATGGAAGGATGGGGAATGGAGGGATGGGGAATGGAGGGATGGGGAATGGAGGGATGGGGAATGGAGGGATGGGGAAAGGAAGGATGGGGAATTGAGGGATGGGGATATGGACGGATGGGGAATGGAAGGATGAGGAATGGAGGGATGGGGAATGGAAGGATGGGGAATGGAGGGATGGGAATATGGACGGATGGAGAATGGAAGGATGGGGAATGGAAGGATGGGGAATGAAAGGATGGGGAATGGAAGGATGGGGAATGGAAAGATGGGGAATGGAGGGATGGGGAATGTAAGGATGGGGAATTGAGGGATGGGGATATTGACGGATGGGGAATGGAAGGATGGGGAATGGAAGGATGGGGAATGGAGGGATGGGAATATGGACGGATGGGGAATGGAAGGATCGGGAAAGAAAGGATGGGGAATGGAAGGATGGGGAATGGAAGGATGGGGAATGGAAGGATGGGGAATGGAAAGATGAGGAATGGAAGATGGGGAATGGAAGGATGGGGAATGGAAGGATGGGGAATTGAAGGATGGGGAATGGAAGGATGGGGAATGGAAGGATGGGGAATGGAAGGATAGGGAATGGAAGGATGGGGAATGGAAGGATGGGGAATGGAGGGATGGGGAATGGAAGGATGGGGAAATGAGGGATGGGGATATGGACGGATGGGGAATGGAAGGATGGGGAATGGAGGGATGGGGAATGGAAGGATGGGGAATGGAGGGATGGGAATATGGACGGATGGAGAATGGAAGGATGGGGAATGGAAGGATGGGGAATGGAAGGATGGGGAATGGAAGGATGGGGAATGGAAGGATGGGGAATGGAAGATGGGGAATGGAAGGATGGGAAATGGAAGGATGGGGAATGGAAGGATGGGCAATGGAAGGATGGGGAATGGAAGGATGGGGAATGGAGAGATGGGGAATGGAGGGATGGGGAATGAAAGGATGGGGAATGGAAAGATGGGGAATAGAGGGATGGGGAATGGAAGGATAGAGAATTGAGGGATGGGGATATGGACGGATGGGGAATGGAAGGATGGGGAATGGAAGGATGGGGAATGGAAGGATGGGAATATGGACGGATGGAGAATGGAAGGATGGGGAATGGAAGGATGGGGAATGGAAGGATGGGGAATGGAAGGATGGGGAATGGAAAGATGGGGAATGGAGGGATGGGGAATGGAAGGATGCGGAATTGAGGGATGGGGATATGGACGGATGGGGAATGGAAGGATGGGGAATGGAAGGATGGGGAATGGAGGGATGGGAATATGGACGGATGGAGAATGTAAGGATGGGGAATGGAAGGATGGGGAATGGAAGGATGGGGAATGGAAGGATGGGGAATGGAAGGATGGGGAATAGAAGGATGGGGAGTGGAAGATGGGGAATGGAAGGATGGGGAATGGAAGGATGGGGAATGGAAGGATGGGGAATGGAAGGATGGCGAATGGAAGATGGGGAATGGAAGGATGGGGAATGGAAGGATGGGGAATGGAAGGATGGGGAATGGAAGAATGGGGAATGGAAGGATGGGGAACGGAGGGATGGGGAATGGAGGGATGGGGAATGGAGGGATGGGGAATGGAGGGATGGGGAATGGAAGGATGGGGAATGGAAGGATGGAGAATGGAGGGATGGGGAATGGAAGGATGGGGAATTGAGGGATGGGGATATGGACGGATGGGGAATGGAAGGATGAGGAATTGAGGGATGGGGAATGGAAGGATGGGGAATGGAGGGATGGGAATATGGACGGATGGAGATTGGAAGGATGGGGAATGGAAGGATGGGGAATGAAAGGATGGGGAATGGAAGGATGGGGAATGGAAAGATGGGGAATGGAGGGATGGGGAATGGAAGGATGGGGAATTGAGGGATGGGGATATGAACGGATGGGGAATGGAAGGATGGGGAATGGAAGGATGGGGAATGGAGGGATGGGAATATGGACGGATGGGGAATGGAAGGATGGGGAAAGAAAGGATGGGGAATGGAAGGATGGGGAATGGAAGGATGGGGAATGGAAGGATGGGGAATGGAAGGATGAGGAATGGAAGATGGGGAATGGAAGGATAAGGGATGGAAGGATGGGGAATGGAAGGATGGGGAATGGAAGGATGGCGAATGGAAGATGGGGAATGGAAGGATGGGGAATGGAAGGATGGGGAATGGAAGGATGGGGAATGGAAGGATGGGGAATGGAGGGATGGGGAATGGAAGGATGGGGAATGGAGGGATGGGGAATGGAAGGATGGGGACTGGAAGGATGGGGAATGGAGGGATCGGGAATGGAAGGATGGGGAATTGAGGGATGTGTTATGTGATGCTATCATTTGCATTCACGTCTGTCTGCCTCCCATCATGTGTTCGTGCGTTGCATGTGTGAAATGAGCGTGCGCAAGAATTTGCGTTTTCTGTGGTTTGGATTTTCTGAGTGTGTGTGAATGTTATTCGGCTTGAGCAGATATCTGAAGTGACTCCACTGCTCAAGAGCTTTCCGACGAACCAAGAATCACTTCAATCGGAGCATGAACAAGAAAGTTACGAACGTTGGAGTTCATAGGCTTTTGATATTTGGTTGTGGTGACCATGGAGAGTTGTGGGGTTGACTCAATATGGGGTACAGACTTTTGGGGGTTGGGAAATTCGTCACTACTACTGTAGTTGCTGCCAATTGGTTGGGAGAAACCAAACCAGGTTGGCAAGTGTGGCCAAGTTGGGTTGAGGTGGATTGTGGAGGTTGGGATAGTGACAAAGGTCAAAGTTGGGTTGCCTATGGGGAAGGGAATTGTGTGGCATGGAGTTTTCTTTGGTTGGGGACTCCTTGGGACCTTCCCTCTCGTCCTCCTCTTTCCTCCTACCTGGTTTAGTGCTACTCTAACTCTCTTGTGTGTAACTCTTGTGAACTTGTGAAACTATTGTGAGTGAATTTAATTTCTATGTGGCAGCATACCCCCTGGTGCGCCCAGAAGCATAACTCGAGATTTACTCCACCTTTCGATACGATTCAAATTGGGAATGATAGCCACGGACAAGGGCTATAACATACTCTAGTTTGAGACGACTCTAACGGTGCACGTTTTGTCGACAACGTTTCTTGTGAAGTCGCGGTTTCTGTCCAGAATTTCAAGCCAACGATTTTAAGAATTTTTGGCACCTAATCTTCGTAGACTCCGTCCTTAGTCTCTAACAAGTGGTATCAGAGCTGATTAAGGACTTTGTGGAGAGTCTACTGAAGTGTGAAGACCCTCCTAGACCCACCATGGCCTGTGGGCGTGCCTAAGTGGAGTTCTGGAGGTTGAATGTGACTTCTGCTAAGGGGAAACTTTGCCGAAATTTCGTTGGCGCCGACAGTTGTGAAGATTGTGTGGATCTACATATTGACCAACAAAAGGGGGAGTTGAAACCTCTGATTGGGAGAAGAGGAGATGAGTCAAGGGAGTGGAGAAGCAGCTGAGAAGAAGAGTGAGCCGCCACCATCCAAGATTGAGGCATTGGATGGCTCCAACTATGAGGAATGGAGTGGGCGGATGAGGAGCGCCTTCAAGCGCTACAAGCTGCTAAAATTGGTTATGGGAGAAGAGAAGATGCCGGAGGAAGGAGATGCCCGCGATCGGTGGATTGAGCGGAGCGCGGTGCTGTACGACTTGATTCTACAGTCGGTCAACAACGACATGTTCCAGCATATCAAGGATTTGGTGGAGCTCGATGACTCGGGACCGAAGGCGTGGAAGCTGCTACGCGACGTGGTTCAACCCAACACGCTGCCGATGGTGATTGTATTGGAGAAGGAGTTGGCTGCCCTCTCCATGCGGCCGGGAGATGATGTGAAGCCGGTCCTTGACAAGATCAAGGACACCTATGCGAGGATGGCAGCGGCGGGCAGCGAAGTGTCGCAGATGCAACAGTGCACCAAGATCATATCGGTGCTCGACAACTCGTGGGACAACCTCATCCCCACCCTCAACGTTCAGCAGGACAAATGGACGCCTGAGTGGCTATGGCAGCAGATCCTGCAGGAGGACTTCCGCAGGCGCCACACTGAAGGTGGTGCTGCCAACAAAACTGCTGAGGGGTATGGAGCTGCAGGAGGCAGCAGAGGGAGAGGGGGGGGGAGAGGCCGAGGCCGTGAGAGAGGCTTTGGCAGAGGGAGAGGCCGAGGTGACTACAATGAGGGGCATGGGAGCTCTGGTGGCAGGGGGAGTACCCGAATGGAGGGTGCGTGCTGGTACTGCAAGAAGGCTGGACACCCATGGTTCAAGTGTTTCAGCCGGCCTGAAGGATGGGCGCCTCCAGGCATGAAGCCGCCAAGTGGTGAACGTGCACGAGGTGGTGCTGTGCAAGGTTCAGGTGCACAAGGTGATGGTGCACAAGGTCAAGCCAACCCTGGTATGTTCCTCATGGTAGAGGACGTGCAAGGGAGTGGGGGTGATGTGGGTTCAGTTGGGAAGGTTGTGATGCACCCCCTCACTCACTGGGTGATCGATTCAGGTTGCACGAATCACATAACTCCACGGGCAGATTTGCTTGATGAGGTGAAGCCCCCTGGGAAGATAAAGTTTGTGGCTGCCACTTCAGGTGCCTTGCTCCCTGTGATTGGTGTTGGGAATGCCAAGGTTATGGGAGCTAATGGGGGGCTTGTGGGGCTGGGAAATGTGCTGTTGGTTGAAGGTTTATCCGCTAACCTCCTCTCTGTGCGCCGGCTGCAGAAAAGCAAGGCCAAAGTTACGTTCGGCCCAACTAGCTGCCGTGCAAAGCTTGGGAACTTGCTGCTGTGGGACTTGGACGAGAAGAGCAGCTGCATCAAGGACCTATGGCAGCTGCCCATCATCCCTTGGAATGGGAAACCACCAGCAAAGGCAACGGCAGCGGCAGCGGCTAAAGCAACTGCGGGAGGAGAGGAGACTGCACCAGCTGCTGGGGCCCTGGATGCAGTCAAGAAGGTGCAGCAGCCACAGCAATCACATGGTGAGGTGCTTGCTGGTGTGGATGCAACGGCTGCATGGGCAAAGGCTTCTTCTGGGAGTGGTGAGGCCGATTGGGAGACGTGGCACGAGAGGTTGTGCCACATCAACATTCCGATGCTGCAGAAATTGGTGAAGGATGGGAACCTGAAGGGATTGGAGGTGAAGGGGGCAGCAAGGGAGATTGGGAGCTGCCCTACATGCCTTGAGACCAAGTTCACGAAGTTTCCCTTCAGCAGCAGCACGGGACCAGCGAAGGCTCCACTTGCACTTGTGCACATGGATGTGGTGGGCCCCACGAGGGCCCTTTCTCTCTCGGGCAGCCGCTACTTCTTGACAATTGTGGACGACCACACGCGTGCGGTGTGGGTGTACCCTCTCAAGACTAAGGGGGAGGTGGCAACGGCTGTTCTTAAGGAGTGGATGCCGAGAGCACAAAGGGAGAGCGGACACAAGGTGAAGGTGATCCGCACTGACAACGGAGGAGAGTTCATCGGCGCTGATTTTGAGAAGGAGCTGAAGCGGAAGGGGATCCAGCATCAGCTCACAGTGCCTTACAACCCTCAGCAGAATGGCGTGGCTGAGCGGTTCAACCGGACCCTGCAGGAAGGTGCTCGCACTCTCCTTGGGCGTGCAGGGCTGCCGGATCCGTTTTGGGTGACAGCACTGCGGCAGGTCGTTGTTGTGAAGAACCGGGTGCTGGCGACTGTGGGGGACAAGCAATGGGTCCCCTACACCAAGTGGTATGGGAGTGTGCCTGCAGTCAACATGCTGAGAACTTATGGCTGTATGGTGGTGTTTCATGTGCCGAAGGAGAAGAGGGGAAAACTGGAAGCTTCTGGGAGATGGGGTGTGCACTTGGGGCTTGCTAAGGATCACAAGGGCTGGCTGATTTGGGACTTGACCAGCCAGCAGCTGACTGTGTCGAGGGATGTGAAGTTCCTTGAGTCCTTGTACTACAAGGAGTGGAAGCAGCAGCAGCAGAAGCTTCCCACTACACCGCTGATCATTGAGGTTGATGAGGTGCAGCGGCCTTCGAGGCAAGTGCAGGTCACTGTCTCAGAGGAGGAGATTTCTGGGGTGACTGAGGATGGGGGAGAACCTGAGGTGGAGGAGCAGCAGCAGCAGCAGCCGTAGCAGCAGCAGCAAGATGCTCCTCAAGGTGCCGCACGTCCGGCTGACCGTCCTAGGAGGGATGTGCGCCATCCTAACCGGTTGACCTATGCGAGCCGTGGCACGCCAAGTGTGGTACCGGCTGGAAGTGTGGCTGAACAGATGGATGAGGATGAGATAGCGTATTGCTATGGAGCTGCAATGAGATGGTTTGGTGGATAGTGTTTTGAAACAGACGCTGCAGAGGGTGCTACAGATTTGAGCAAAGAGGAGATGTTGGAAGTGGGATGTTGGAAGGAGATGATTGTCCATTGGGATGAGTGTTGGAAGTGAATGAAGCTCGCGGGAATGAGTTTGCATTGAGGGTGCATGCTTGAGTTATGGCATGTGGGATGATGGCTGGCAGCCAGAGGGGGAGTTTGTTATGTGATGCTATCATTTGCATTCACGTCTGTCTGCCTCCCATCATGTGTTCGTGCGTTGCATGTGTGAAATGAGCGTGCGCAAGAATTTGCGTTTTCTGTGGTTTGGATTTTCTGAGTGTGTATGGATGTTATTTGGCTTGAGCAGATATCTGAAGTGACTCCACTGCTCAAGAGCTTTCCGACGAACCAAGAATCACTTCAATCGGAGCATGAACAAGAAAGTTACGAACGTTGGAGTTCGTAGGCTTTTGATATTTGGTTGTGGTGACCATGGAGAGTTGTGGGGTTGACTCAATATGGGGTACAGAATTTTGGGGGTTGGGAAATTCGTCACTACTACTGTAGTTGCTGCCAATTGGTTGGGAGAAACCAAACCAGGTTGGCAAGTGTGGCCAAGTTGGGTTGAGGTGGATTGTGGAGGTTGGGATAGTGACAAAGGTCAAAGTTGGGTTGCCTATGGGGAAGGGAATTGTGTGGCATGGAGTTTTCTTTGGTTGGGGACTCCTTGGGACCTTCCCTCTCGTCCTCCTCTTTCCTCCTACCTGGTTTAGTGCTACTCTAACTCTCTTGTGTGTAACTCTTGTGAACTTGTGAAACTATTGTGAGTGAATTTAATTTCTATGTGGCAGCATACCCCCTGGTGCGCCGAGAAGCATAACTCGAGATTTACTCCACCTTTTGATACGATTCAAATTGGGAATGATAGCCACGGACAAGGGCTATAACATACTCTAGTTTGAGACGATTCTAACGATGCACTTTTTGTCCACAACGTTTCTTGTGAAGTCGCGGTTTCTGTCCAGAATTTCAAGCCAACGATTTTGAGAAATTTAGGCTCCTAATCATCACAGACTCGATCCTTAGTCTCTAACAGGATGGGGATATGGACGGATGGGGAATGGAAGGATGGGGAATGGAAGGATGGGGAATGGAAGGATGGGGAATGGAAGGATGGGGAATGGAAGGATGGGGAATGGAAGGATGGGGAATGGAAGGATGGGGAATGGAAGATGGGGAATGGAAGGATGGGGAATGGAAGGATGGGGAATGGAAGGATGGGGAATGGAAGGATGGGGAATGGAAGATGGGGAATGGAAGGATGGGGAATGGAAGGTAGGGGAATTGAAGGATGGGGAGTGGAAGGATGGGGAATGGAAGGATGGGGAATGGAATGATGGGGAATGGAAGGATGGGGAATGGAAGATGGGGAATGGAAGGATGGGGAATGGAAGGATGGGGAATGGAAGGATGGGCAATGGAAGGATGGGGAATGGAAGGATGGGGAATGGAGGGATGGGGAATGGAGGGATGGGGAATGGAGGGATGGGGAATGGAGGGATGGGGAATGGAAGGATGGGGAATGGAAAGATGGGGAATGGAGGGATGGGGAATGGAAGGATAGAGAATTGAGGGATGGGGATATGGACGGATGGGGAATGGAAGGATGGGGAATGGAAGGATGGGGAATGGAAGGATGGGAATATGGACGGATGGAGAATGGAAGGATGGGGAATGGAAGGATGGGGAATGGAAGGATGGGGAATGGAAGGATGGGGAATATAAAGATGGGGAATGGAGGGATGGGGAATGGAAGGATGCGGAATTGAGGGATGGGGATATGGACGGATGGGGAATGGAAGGATGGGGAATGGAAGGATGGGGAATGGAGGGATGGGAATATGGACGGATGGAGAATGGAAGGATGGGGAATGGAAGGATGGGGAATGAAAGGATGGGGAATGGAAGGATGGGGAATGGAAGGATGGGGAATGGAAGGATGGGGAATGGAAGATGGGGAATGGAAGGATGGGGAATGGAAGGATGGGGAATGGAAGGATGGGGAATGGAAGGATGGGGAATGGAAGGATGGGGAATGGAAGGATGGGGAATGGAAGGATGGGGAATGGAAGATGGGGAATGGAAGGATGGGGAATGGAAGGATGGGGAATGGAAGGATGGGGAATGGAAGGATGGGGAATGGAAGATGGGGAATGGAAGGATGGGGAATGGAACGATGGGGAATTGAAGGATGGGGAATGGAAGGATGGGGAATGGAAGGATGGGGAATGGAAGGATGGGGAATGGAAGGATGGGGAATGGAGGGATGGGGAATGGAGGGATGGGGAATGGAGGGATGGGGAATTGAAGGATGGGGAATGGAAGGATGGGGAATGGAGGGATGGGGAATGGAAGGATGGGGAATGGAAGGATGGGGAATGGAAGGATGGGGAATGGAAGGATGGGGAATGGAAGGATGGGGAATGGAGGGATGGGGAATGGAAGGATGGGGAATGGAGGGATGGGGAGTGTAAACCAACACAGCAAGGAGCAAGCACTCCTATCCACATAATTAAGGCCTGGAAAGCAATTATACTGTTGGAAGCATGACAGGACAACTGGGTTGGGGGCGTACGGGGGACTTACAGATTTCGTAGGTTGCCAAGACTTGCAAGACCTTGCGGTATGGTGCCAGTCAGGCGGTTGGAGCTCAGGTCCCTGGATGTAACAACACGGAAGGGAAGTGGAGACAGGGAAACGATCAGCGGAAAGCAGGAGTGGTATGCGGTATGATGTCATGGGGACGAAGTGATGGGGTTTGAGTTCAGGACGATGTGAGATCATAACGTCCTGCACTAGTGGTTCGTGGTTCAGGCGCGTCTTGGCTCGGTTTTAGAGTCGACTCAAAGACAGACTCATCACCAGAGGTCATGAGGTCCTACGCTATTGGTTCAGCTGTGTCTTGCCTTGGCTCGGCATGCTCGGCGTGCTCGGCTGGGTGACATGGCTACCCGAGCCTCATCGCGAGCTCGTGGCCGGCATGTCTAAAAGCGACCCGTGGCAGGGTAAATTGCCTGAGGTAGCTCGCCACGCGGAAGTCACCGATTTTCCGGACCCTTACAACAATCTCTGTGGCCAACCTGAGGGGTGAAGGGCTAGAACGAGCGGAACTGCTCGAAGACAGCCAGGGTGGCTCGAAGCGAGCCCTCCCCGCTCCTCCCCTCCTCTCACCTCTCCCCTTCCTTCTCCCCCCTTCCCCTTCTCCTCCCCCACCCCGGCTCGACGTGTGAGCGAGCCAGCTTGGTTCGGATGAATGACGAACCAACTCAGGCTCGAGGCAAGCCGGGTTGGCTCGGGCCCTTGCTCGGGTCAGGGCTATAAGGCCTCGAGCAGGCAAGTGTGCAACAGACGCTTGGGCCCAGTTAATGGAGAGGGACAAGTGCTGATACAATAGATGAAGTGGGCACGCCAATGTGGAACAAAGCCCGTCACCACACTCATCTCCACAGAGAAGGCGAGGATGTGTTGCAACTAAACTCAAACTCAACGCACTGGGAGTAGGCTTTTGAGTCGACTCAAAAGTCAGCTTAATGTGTTGCAACTAAACTCAAACTCAACGCACTGGGAGTGGGCTTTTGAGTCGACTCAAAGGTCAGCTTAATGTGTTGCAACTAAACTCGAACTCAACGCACTGGGAGGGGGGTTGGAGTGCGGCAAGGGCAGGGTGCAGGGGAGGGGGGGCAACAACTAGGGACAATGAAAGCAAGCCTCACATTGTGAGCCTCACAGCAGTGTGAGCCTCACAGCAGTGTGAGCCTCACAGCAGTGTGAGGTAGACCAAGCCTGTTATCTCGTCCGGTATCGTGCCAGACAGCTGGTTGTTGCTGATGTCCCTGGGAGAAGAGAAGAGACGAATGGCATGAAGAGACAGAGGCAGTTGAATAGCTGACCAACCGAATGAAGTACAGGCAAGGAGGCAGCAGAGGGTAATGAATGGGAAGTGACATAGCATGGAAGGGAGTGGGGAGTGGTGGGGAAGAAAGGGGCAAACGAGATGCAGAGAGGGATGCAAACAGTATGCATTCTTCGGTTTAGGGCGATGTGTGCATGGGCTGGTGTAGGCACGGCAGGAGCAGGCAGTTACGGCATCCCAGACGGCGCTACAGATAGACATGGCATGGCGATGCAGTGAGGCATGGCGATGCAGTGAGGCATGGCGATGCAGTGAGGCATGGCGATGCAGTGAGGCATGGCGATGCAGTGAGGCATGGCGATGCAGTGAGGCATGGCGATGCAGTGAGGCCGTCTACAGCCGGAGGCTGCCCTGTGCTGACAGACATGTGGTGTGGCGTACTGCGGCATAGACATGAGCACTGTTAGAATTAGGCTGTCAACACTTTGTGTACTATATTCTATATCGCGTAGGTTATTTGTGGGTTGGGTGTAGTTTGTGATCCCAACCCTATCTGGTTGGGATTCCCTCGTAATCCTGCAAATCTGCCAACTCACCAATTGGAGATTTGCTAGGATTCCCATCCCATCCTTTCCCTAGCCTTGCCCATCCCAACCTCATTTGTACTTAAGGCCTAGTGCCTTCTTTCTTAATCAATCAGTTCAGTTTCAATTCCATCATGGTATCAGAGCTAGCACATTCCGCTCACGCGGAATCCGATCCTTGGCGTCGCGATCATTCTCTTCCTCTCGGCTATGGTGTTCTTGGTTCACGCCTTCTTCGCTTAGCATTTTTTCGTCTTCACATCGTCGCACTGGTCAAAAGCGCTTTCCCGCTCCGTCTACGTGCATTTCCGATTTCCACGGCGGCACATTTCTCCGTCAATTTCCTTCATCGTAAGCTCTGAAATTTCAAATTTCCGTGGCAATTTTCTCACATTCGAAACTTCCAGAAGGTTTTCATCGGTGCAGCAGAGCAGGTTCAGCGGCGCAGCAGAGCAGGTTCAGCGGCGCAGCAGAGCAGGTCAGCGGCGCAGCAGAGCAGGTTCAGGGGCGCAGCGGAACAAGTTCATCGGCGCAGCAGAACAGGTTCAGCGGCGCAGCAGAGCAGGTTCAGCGGCGCAGCAGAGCAGGTTCAGCGGCGCAGCTGTCAGAATATTATCTTATTGTTCTAGCCTGTAGTGGGGTGCTCTATAGCGAGTACAACCCTTCTAGGGTTTGCTATTTGTATCCTCATTCTTGCTAGTTCAATCCTCTTTTTCTTCCTTCTGATTCTGACATGCTATCAGAGCAGGTCGATCCCCTTGGATCGTTCCTGTGGGTGTGTCCCCACCTTGCTTCCGCTGCTACTTTTTCCTCCCGCCGTGCGCCCCGAGGCGCGCGGCGGTTTTCTGCCCGCCGTGCGCCCCGAGGCGCGCGGCGGTTCATTGCCCGCTGTGCGCCCCGTGGCGCGCGGCGGGCTTCTCCTCTACGTCGCGGCCCCGCCCCGGCCCGTCGCCGCCCGTGCGCCCGCTCGACGCGGCCCGCCCTTCGTCGCGGACCCGCCCCGGCCCGTCGCCGCCCGTGCGCGTGCCCGGCTCGGCCCCGCCCTTCGTCGCGGACCCGCCCCGGCCCGTCGCCGCCCGTGCGCATGCCCGGCTCGGCCCCGCCCTTCGTCGCGGACCCGCCCCGGCCCGTCGCCGCCCGTGCGCCTGCCCGTCGCGGCCCCGCCCTACGTCGCGGCCCCGCCCTATGTCGCGGCCCCGCCCCTCGAAGCGGCCCCGCCTTACGTCGCGGCCCCGCCCCGCTCGTCGCGGCCCCGCCCCTTGTCGCGGCCCCGCCCTCCAACCAGGCTCGTGGTGGGCCCCTTTCACCACACCGCCTCCCCCCCCCCCCCCCCCCCCCCCCCCCTGCCATTTCCCGTCGCCCGTCGCGGCTCCTTCGGGGGCCGCAAGCGGCCCCCTCAGGTCGCCACGACGGACGACGGGAGGGGCGAGCTGTGGGGTGGCGGGTATGGGGGTGGTCGGTGTGCCTTCCTCCCTTTCTCCTCCTCCTCCTTCGTCTCCCACTGCTGCAGCTGTCGCTGAGGGGGGTGGTTGTGTGGGAGACTGGGTTTAGGGTTTAAGGGGGGTGCGTGGGAGTAGAGCTAGTGGTGTAGCAGTGGGTGTGTATCAGGGGGGTGGGACTGTGTGCGGGAGGATGAGCGGAGGTTGCCAGTTTGTCGTCAGCAGCACCTGTAGTCCGGGGCGCTGTCCCGGTAGCCCAGTCGTAGCCAGCTGTGCCAGCCGCCCGTGGGTCCGTTGCCCGTCCGCCGCTATTTGAGCCGCGGGGCCTGTTACCCCTGTAGTCCGGGCGCTGTCCGGTAGCCGCTGTGCCAGTCTGCCTCCTGTTGCCCGTGTGTCTGCAGCTTCAGCCGTCGCCTCCTGTCTCCTCTCCCCTCACTCTCCCTCCTCCTCCTCACTTGCCCGTTGTGACTACCACTAGCTTTGCTTATAATTGTGAACTCTAAACTATTTCTTCTTGAACTTGTGCTCAGAATGTGTGGTGACATTGTGATCCACCCTGAGCTTGTTTTGCTTTGCCTGCTCTGCTGATTACACCCCACTTTGGCTATGGGGGTGTGTCAGAATATTATCTTATTGTTCTAGCCTGTAGTGGGGTGCTCTATAGCGAGTACAACCCTTCTAGGGTTTGCTATTTGTATCCTCATTCTTGCTAGTTCAATCCTCTTTTTCTTCCTTCTGATTCTGACAGCAGCAGCACAGGTCAGCGGCGCAGCGGAACAGGTCATCGGCGCAGTAGAAAAGGGGTCATCGGCGAAGCAGAGAAGCAGAACAGGAATCGCAATCTTATTGGCAAAATCGCACCTTTCCGCATTTCAGACTTCATCAATTTTCAAAATCGCTCCGCTTCGTATCGTTGACTTTAGCGCTGCGCTCCGCGCGAATGGCGACTTCAACTTCTACCCTCGTCGGAAACCTCATCATTCTCAACCTCGCTCCCAACGGCACGAGCACCAACTTTGGAGAATGGTGCTATGGGGTGGAGAGGCACCTCCTTAGCACGGAACTGAAAGGGATTTGCCTTAAGAACATCCTCCTCAACCGCGGCAAGGGAAAGATGCCTCTCCCTCCCGATCCCCTTGGCGAAGGCGCCACTGCCGCAGAAAAGGCCGCTTTTGACGCTCAGACCACCAAGTACGAGACTGATTTCAGTGTGTGGGAGCAGGCAGATGCAGCAATTATTAGGGTTTTCATCACCACCACTCCGGTTGAGCTCGTCAAATCCTACCGCACCTTTCGCTCCGCTCATGCGATTTGGAAGTACCTCCAGGACCGTTTCCATGACAAGACAGCAGTGGGTGTTGCCATCCTCATCCCTCGAATGTTCCAGGTCCGCCTTGAGGAATGCCCTGGCATGGCAGATTACATCTCTGAAATCCGCAACATCCATGAGGAACTCAAAGATATTGGGATCATTTTCCCCGAACAAGCACCTGCAGCCGGCCTACTTGTAGGACTGACCCCGGCCTACAATGTCACCAGCTCCATGCTCAAGCAACTTTCCACCAAGGAACTCACCTTCGAAAAAGTCGCATCAGCTCTCCTTTCCGCCGAAAAGGACCTTGCAGCCCAAGCATCCGTCAATGCTGTGCGCTACACCCCTGGAATCCCATTCCGCTCCCAACAAGGACCAAGGCGCAACTCCTTTCCCCCATGCCCCTACATCATTAGGAAAGGCCCACGTGCGGGGCAGAAATGCGGAGGCACCAACCACCCTGAGGCAACTTGCTTCAAGAAGCGAGATGATGAGTGGTACGACGTCCATGGTGTCTCCACCAACAAGCGCCCAACCAACTGGGCCCCACCCCGTCGCGTGAACTATGTCGAGGCAGTGGAGGTGCCTAGTCCCTC